AGCCTCAATCCATACTGAAGGCTGCAGTCCTTGACCCTCCGCAGCAAGCACTTCAGGTCCTCCTCAGTTTAAGCAAGCAGGGTTGTGTCATCTGCATAACACAGCATGTTGATAGATCTTCCACCTTTAAGACACTCTGAAAACCCTATGTACAACAGAGATTTTAAGTTTCTATTTCTAAAAAATGACTGAGGGGGGAAGAATATTAAGAAAAGGCAAAGTAACCTTTGATACAGGAGGCATCAAAAGAAGCTGGAGAGAATACACAGAATCCCTATACCTAAAAGAACTAGCAAACACTGAAAAAAATATCAGGATATACCATATGGTTAAGAGCCAGTGGTAAGGAATGAGAAGTTTAAACTTCTCTGAAGGCATTGGCAAAAATAAGGTTCCAGGAATCTATGAGATGTCAATTGGAATGTTTCAAATTACAGATGCAGCCCTGGATGGCATTTCTCAAGCTGAGAGAACTAAAAAACAAATTTAAACCTCAAGCCCCTATATTAAAGGATGCTATGGACAATATGTAATATGTAGAATGGTCTAGGAAGAATCCAAAGGAGATGGAGAGAATACACAGAGTCACTTCACAGAGCAAGAGCTGCACTGAAGACATTCACAAAAAATAAAGCCCCAGGAACCAATATACATGTTTTAACTAAAAGAATGTGGAAATTATTGAACATTATCATATGCAAGCAAAATACTGCTCAAGATCATTAAAAAATGGCTAGAACAGTACAGAGATAGGGAGCTTCCAGAAGTTCAAACAGAATTTAGAAGAGGCTGTGGCACCAGGGATATCATTACTGATGCAAGATGGATCCTGGCTGAAAGGTGAGAATACCAGAAGAATATATATTTGTGTTTTGTTGACTATGAAAGGCATTTGACTATGTGGATTTTAACAAATTATGGCTAACACTGAGAAGAATGAGAATCCCAGATCACTATATTCTCATGTGAAATCTATACCTTGACCAAGAGGTTGTGTGTAAGCAGCAAGCGAATACCACATTATTTAAACTTAAGAAAGGAATGCATCAGGATTGTACTCTCTCTGTACCTATTTATTCTGTATGATGGACTCAGTAAAGAAGAATGTAGCATCAGGATAAGAGGAAGATTCATCAGTAACCTGCATTTTGCAGATGACACAAGCTTGCTTGCTGAAAGTGAGGAGAACTTGAAGCACTTGCTACAGAAGATCAAAAATTATGGTCTTCAATATGGATTGCATCTTAACATCAAGAAAACAAATTAAAGAAAAGAAAACAAATAGGCAAGTGATAATAGATGAGAAAAGATTAAAGTTGTCAATGATTTCTTTTTACTTGAAACCACAATCAACATCCTTCGTAACAGCAGTCAGGAGATCAAGAGATGTTATGCACTGGGAAAGTCTGTAGCCAGGGACCTCTCAAAATTATTGAGAAGCAATGATGTCAATGTGAGGACTGAGGTGCACCTGATTCAGGCCAGGGTCTTTTCAATCACTTTCTATGCATCTGAGAACTGGACAATGAATAAGGATAACAGAAAAATTGATACCTTTGAGCTGTGGTGTTGGAGAAGAGTGCTGAATTTCACATGGACTGCCAAAAAAAGCAAACAAATAGCCCTAGAGAAAGTGCAATGAGAGTGCAAAGATTATAAAGCTTTGCCTCACATACTTCAGTCATGTTGCTAAGAGAGGCTTTGCCTTGGACATTATGTTTGGAAAAGTGGAGGTTCAGCAAATGAGAGGAAAATATTCAACCAGATGGACTGATAGTGACTGCTGCTCTGGGCTCAAGTGTGTGAGAATGTGTGTGGAGGTCACTCGTTAGGACAGGGTTCAGATCTGTTGTTCATAGGGTTGTTATGGGTCATACTCAACAGCTTCTAACACTAACAGTGTGTTAGCTAATATAGTTCAAAATGCTACATTTTGTACGCATGAAACAACTCACATTAATATAACAATTCACATTAATGCACTTCAATACGTAAACTTTTCGACTAAAAGACAGAAGTAGTTGGATGCCCAAGCATATAGAGTCCTGCTGTGATTGTTTTTTCAAAAATTGAGCAACTTTTGGTAAATTTCTGAGTAAAAACAAGTTAGTCATCAATTTCTATGACAGTTACATTCCAGAAAAATTAATAATATATTCAGATTATGAAAAAAATGCTGTTTAATATATACAAGTTCTAGACTTAGAAATTACAAACTGCTTTCCTTCATAAAAGCCTTGAAGAGCAAGGAACACTCTCATAGGCTGTCATAGTTTCTCATAGATGGTAGTTATTATAGAACGTGCCCTTTGATCTTCCACTACCCACTGAATGTTAATAGACCTCCTTATCATAGTGACTAGAAAAGTGTCTCTCAGGAAAACTACAATAGTTCAACTAATAGCACATAATCCTCCCATATATAGCTAACAATCTAATAGCTTTATATGAAACAATCAGATTATTTTTTATATTTATATGATACATTTTTTCCTGAGTTGGATGTCCATTGCAATAACCTACATATTAGCTGGTTGAATTAAGGACTGTCTGAGCAAGTGAAACAAACTGTAATTAGCACCCGAGTTATGTTCCTTATTTCATTGGTTGAAAATCAGACAGACTTGAACTTGTCTATATTCCAGCACGTCTTAGCTGTTTGACCTTGAAAAATTCAAATAAAACATTTCAAATACTTCATCTGAAAATTTACGTTGAAAGTAGGAGTGTTGTAAAGTTTAAAGGAGAAAGCACACAGAACTTATGGCACCTGTGTTTCGTGTGGTAACCACTCACTAATCATGCAACAGGGTCTATTCTACATCCTAGATGTCTGTGCCCTGTCCATCCTGACCTACTTCCTGGCATGCAAAGGAAGACACTGATGTTTAAGGGTCATTTATGCATTCAAGGAAGAAACTGATCATGAACTACTGCTTTTTGTTCAAATTTTTTGACGATTTGGTCACTTACCTACAGCAAATAGTATTCATTCAAGGTATTCATTGATGCCTTTGAGCTGTGGTGTTGGAGAATAGTACTGAATATCCCATGAACTACAAAAATAACAAAGAATCGCCACTGCAGTGGCCTTGGAGGCAAAGATAACAAAGCCTCATCTCATATTCTTTGGGCATGTTGCTAGAAGAGGCTTTTCTTTGGAGAGGAACATCATGTTTGGAAAGGTGAAGATCAATGAATGAGAGGGAGACCCTCAGCCAGATGGATTAACACAGTATCTGTTACAGTGGGCTCAAGTGTGTCACGGATGATGAGGATGGCACAGGAAAGTATAGATTTGGTGTTCTTAGAGCCGCAGTGAGTCAAACTTGACTCAATAGCACCTAACAACATTCATTCAAGTAAACAAAATACAGAAATGAAAACATCAGAATGGAAAGAATGAGAATATTAACACATTATTAAAAACATAACTGTTGATATTAAACAGTAGTTCAGAAATTATTAAAAGGGAACTTAATTTGCTGTATAAACTTGAACACAATACTATTTTTCTTAAAGGAAATCATATAACTTTATATATGTATGTGACTAGAGACCAGGAGAGATATATTAATACACAACAATTTCCTTTTCTGAGCAGGACTCACACTGTATTATAACCAAAGACAGTAAACTTGAAAAATGTCCAGTATTCCTCTAAGAAGAATGTGTGAAAGAATAATAAGAATAAATGGAAGTTGTTTGTTGTTGAGTTGACCACAACTCATAGCTATCCTATGCACAATAGCTCTGAAACCTACTCTATTTTGGGTCAATCTCACTATCTCTGACACACCTACCCCCTTACCCCAGCTACTGTGTCAATCCATCTCACCTGGATTCTTCCTCTCGTTTGCTGTCCCTCCACCCTTACAAGCATGATGTCCTTCTCCAAGGCCTGGTCCCTCCTGGTGGATCTAAAACTGAAAGAAAATATAATTTCCAAGATATTTGATATTAATTAAATAAAATTTCTCCCAAGAGAAAATAGAAATACGTATTCATGATTGTCTTTTAAGTGTGTGTTTAATCGCTTCTCGGCCTTTTGGCTAAGATCAAGTGAAGTGTGTGTTTAAAATATTTGCAGATATTGTTGTTTGAAAGATTTTTGCTAATCTGCATAAATCATTCCCTAGCTAATTCTTTAGCATTTTAGAAAATGATATCTAATCCATTTGCTCTAATAAAATGCAACTCTTTTCCATTGCTTCGACTACATGGAAATGGGAAACACTTGGTCACACAGTGCCTGACATTTGACACTGAGATGAAGGAGATCCACACAACTAGGGAGTTTATTTATGGAATTTCTTGTCTTTTTCTTTGCAAAATGTATTTTAAGTTGCTTAGAAAGAATGTTCCTGCTTTTAGAACAAAACAGAGTGGTGTTGGCTGAAAGAATAGGTTGTCGCCTGTGGTTATGCTTGGCATGCACAGGGAGGTTGGATCCTTTTCCATTATCATGGAATAATTTTATTTCATTTTTTTGTGATTGGTGTAAACAGCTTAACCAGAAAATCTGCTTCCAATGGCAGCTTGCCAACAATCAACAATCTCCCATTGGACAGTGATTCATTTAGTTCTTGGTTAGGAAACATGAAAAAAAAAATTTCCATTTCTGCTTGTTTTCACCTATTGCAATGTTACATCATATGTTCCCACTTTGGCACATCTTCCTAGGGACGGTTCTACTGCTGTCAATTAACTTTCCTTCCCTCTCTGTGGTAGGAGATAGAAGTAATCAGTGCCCCTCCGGTTTTGTCTTGGACCCAGTTGGACCTTTTTGTGCTGGTAAGTACATGAGTAAATAATGTTATTCCTTTAGGAAAAATATGAATAATGAAAACCTTTTAGTAGATATTCATTTTCTGTATTTTATTCTCACAACTCAAATTCAAAAAAACAACAGTCCTATTTTTTTTTTATTTTCTTAGAGAAGACATCGAGATGTGGAAAACTTAAGTGAACTACCTAAAAACACACAGCTATCAAGTGGCAGAGCTAGGTTTGGACTTAAGGTAGATTGCAAAGTCCATGACTTTTCCACATCTGCCCACAGTCAACTATGTTAGGGATAGTGACCAAATACAACACAGAGACAACACTGGACTTATTCCGGCTGCTTCATCGCTTTGGGTGGGTGTAAATACCAATTCAGTCTACCACCAAGAGATCCCCTCCTCCCTTAAATCTGTTCTGAATTGCACATACAGTATTTCTGCCTCTCACCCTAACCTCCTGGAGCTAAGTCAAACTTCACAATCTTCCAAATGACAGTTCTTCCCAGAATCCCAGATTCTACCTGCAAGCTTGGGTGATCCAGTACTACCCTCATAACTGACTGGCTAGTGACAAATTTAGGAGTTTACCCCCACTCTCTCAACATGCTAATCACAAGTTTAGGGATCCACAGGCCTCCTCACTTCTGACCTACTCCCTCTCACTACTCCCTTGGGGTCAATAATTTATTAAAATTACTGACAATGTAAGAAATCACTGTGCTTATGATTATAATTTTATTATAACAAAAGGGATATAAGTGAACAGATACACAGGACAAGTTGAGGAAGAGTTCTCAGTACAGAGAGAGTTTCTCTATCCCCAGAAGAGATACACTGCTCCCTCAGGTGCATTGACTTCTATCACCAACCAGAAAGTCCAAGGAATGCCCATGTCCTGAGCCTTTAATGGGGCTTTAGTTCTTAAAATAGTTAGTTGAATCAGATTTCCTTCACTGAAATTGACCTTATCAAGTATCAAGTAGTCTTTCTACCATGTCCAGCTTCTACCCACAGGTCCTTCTTTTACATAAACCCCCAGGTGCAGCCTGGAAGTCCCAAAATAGACACTTCCCAGGGGAAATTTCAAGGTGTTAGCATTTATTTCTCAAAACTGAAGACAAAGACAAGATCATTTGGATAAAGTTTACCTTACAATAAATTATTTACCCTTCAATGTGAGGCAGCAATAATCCATCCCTAAATCACCTAACACTAGCCTATAATAAGAAGCTCTAATCCCAAAGGCATGTGGTTTGGATCTCCCAGCTGCTCCTTGGGAGAAAGATGGGAAGTCTCCACCTGTGTGGTTTACTGCCTCTGAAAACCCTGCAGGGTCAGCTATGGGTTGGTTCTGATGGAACATAATAACAACAATCATAAGACGGATCAGAATTGTGGGTCTAGCATTACGATTAAAGCAGCTGTGTAAATGGGTTATAGTAGTAGTAGT